TTTTCGCACTCCACTTTTTTTTTTTTCTTTTTTCTTGTAATGGTGGGACCCACCCATTTTATCTCTACAACATAAGATAACTATCTTATGTAAAAGAAGACTAATAAAGCCCTTATAACACTGCATTGTTTTTCTCAGCACACACATATATATATATATATATTATTTCATGTCAATAAAAAACTAAGTTCATATTCACATGATCTAGGCATACAACCCTGGTATCAACATGGGACGTATAGGGAAAATAATTTTCCAATGTACTACGGCCTTTATTAATCTCATGCAATAGAAGAGAACTCTCTCATGCAATAGAAATAATTATGTATGGGACCCACCCACTATTAAAAAAAAATAAATAAATAAATAAATAACACGAAAATTGATGTATGTGTAGGAGAGAAAAACTCTCTCCTACAACATAAGAATATATTTTTGCATGTATTATATATGGTGTGTTTGGTTTCCTGGTGAAACCCTTAAAATGTCATTTATTTCACTCAAAATGCCTCGAACGTTGTGCTGAAATATTTGGCATTATTTAAAAACAAAATGAAGTTTGATTCAAACTTCATTCCAACTCCATATACATAAAAATAACATTTTTTTTGCTTTTGGCGTAAATGAAATTTACATTTGTTTGTATATTGTTTTTTAAGATATATATTATATTATTAAATAAGATACTGTCATACTTTTTCAGTAATTTTAAAATTTATTTTATTAATATTATTCAAATAACATGTTTTATGTGAAAATTATTTTTGAACAAACGTTTTTTTTGTTTTTGGTGGTTGTTGACCAAATGTTTTTAAACATAAATCAATTTACTTAATCAAAAGTTAAATTTTTAAACTTCAATCAAAACACACGTTTAGTAATAACATGCCTCCTCAATTATTAATTCGACCTTCAACTTAATTAATATATTGCGCTATGTTGGTTCACTGTACTTGGTTGGCGGATAGCACTGCAATTATCAGTCACAGACGATGACCATTATGATCAGCAACTGAAGATTGGTCCATTATTGTGATGTATTATTATATTATGTTGTACCAACTTCTAATATGATAGATATTGACCCTGCACCTATGCACTGCTAATAGTGAGTGAAATATGCGCCCGTTAACTAATTAATTAGTTAATAATCTTTTTATTAATCACATGCATGATTTATTCCACCATCTTTGGTCAAAGTCATTCAGTTGAAAAGCACCCACTTTAATATATATACATGCCAGCGTTCGTGGAACGTCCATCCACCACTCTACCCTTCAAAGTCCAATGTGATAATCACCCTTTAGTATTGTTATTATTTACAAATATGTCGTGTTATTTTATGGGATAAACATTTGAATAGGGGTGTTCGCGGTCTGGATTGGATCGATTTTGGAAGCAAAAATCATCTGATTCAATCCCTTCGATTTGATCATGTAATCATCCATTCGGTTTGGATTTTTTTCCAAATCCGATCCGATCCAATTCAATTTTTTTCGGTTTGGATTGGATCGATTTTCGGTTTTTTGAAAATCCTAAAATTTGTTTCATGATTATTGTGCAAATAACATCTTTTGTATATATTGGCTTTGTCAATTTTTTTTTAAAGACAAAAGCATCAGTAAACGATAATATAGTTTTTTTTTTTGGCAATGAGATATGAAGCTCTATACAGATGAAATTTTGTTGATGAGATGTGACTAGATTTTTTCTTGGATTTAGTTGATGGGTTAATGGATCTTGGATTTGGAAATTTTTGGACTATGATTGGAGAAATGTCTAAATAAGTAGAGGAGAATTAATATATTGGATCGATTTGGATTGGATTGGATCGGTTTTCGTCAACCAATCCAAAAACCGATCCAATCCAATTAAAATTTGCGGCTTTTTTTTTCGGTTTTTCGGTTTTCAGTTTTTTCGGTTATCAGTTTTTCGGTTTTTCGATTTATTCAGTTATCAGTTTTTTCGGTTCGGTCATCACGATTTGGATCGGTTGATGAATACCCTTACATTTCACAATATTGTTGATTGATTAAATTAGGTAGAACAGCTAAGAACATGGATAACCAAGTATAAGCTGATTAAGGAAGTTGGTGACTTGCATTTACCGGATCATATATTAGACGATATGGCGGTTAGTCAACTATGATAAGTTGAACGACAATCTCAGTACATGTATGAAGCTGAGTTTTGCTTAAGGATTAAACTTAGGCAATTATAATAGATAAGAATTGACTTGTTCAATAACGAGAGCCTGTTCATTACTTCAATCATGTTGTGTGTGAACGTTATATATAGGACACGTTTTAATTAAGATGAAAATCCAATTTTCTATGCATGCAATTCAGCAAATCTCAATAAGCTTACGTTAGTAAGCTTATGCTATAATAACAGTTTTACACACAACAATGATCTCTTGCCAAAAGGAAACTCAATACAAAGAAAGATTCAAATCTTCGTAAATTTCAAAGGAAATTGTTATTCTTGTTACGGTATCTCCTACTAACCAAAATGATGAAATTTGAAAGAAAAGAAAAAAGACGCGTTTTGAGATATATTTTCTCTCTCCTGTCATGTATATATATAATATGCGAGAGGGCTGCAACTTTTTTTGATTTGACACATGTACGTGTCCCCTAGGACCCTATCCGAGTTTAATCCTTTTACAATGTACCGACAAAAAATGTTAGACCATACTCCTAGTCAGAATACCAACGCGGCGATTTGTCACGTAGAGATAATTACAAAACAGAGCTACAACAAATATGAATATGGTCGTGGCTCAGAGGTTGGACCAAATTCCTAATTTGAATTATAACTATTCAACATGTGTTAATCTCATACACTACGGATTCACACATGGCCACGGCCTTATAAACTGTGGATTAAATAAAATAAGTACAAGGGTTAGGGAAATACTTATTTTCTTTTATATTTGCACACATGTATTATTATTTACCATCAGTTGGATTCATTCTGTATTTTAACCTTTTTTTTGTTAGAGAATATTAAAGAACCACTTTAACTTAAAATCTTAAGATGTTGGGTGAGGACTTTTTCAATGATTTATATTATATTTTTTAACACACTCCCTCACGCAAGAGCCCTTTGGGGTTGTGAGGGAGTGTGTTAGAGAATATAATATAAATCATTAAAAAGATCCTCACCCAACACTTTAAGATTTTGGGTTGAAGTGATTTTTTAACATGATATCAGAACTTTGTTAGAGAATAATATAAAAGTATTAGAAAAGACCAAAAAATAGGCTTATGCAGCACAAGACAGACCAATAATGAGCTTGTGTCATATTCACGCTTCAAGCCCAAAGGCTCTTGCGTGAGGGAGTGTGTTAGAGAATGTTAAAGAATCACTTCAACCCAAAACGTTAAGGTGTTGGGCGAAGGCCTTTTTAATGATTTATATTATATTTTCTAACATTTTTTTATCCACTTTAAGTTTTGCTTACTTCCAAAGTACGTGTGGCCGTGGGGGAACCAATGTTATTAAAACTGCCCTGGTCGAGGTACCGGGTCACTGGTTCAACCGCACGGCCCGGTAATTATATGCAATTTTATAATTTATATTAAAAAATTATAAACATACTCAAATATCTAAAAAAATAAGAAGTATTTTAAATATTTTAATACAAAAAATAATAAATCACATATTATTATCAAATAAAAAATCAATCAAAAATATAATGATCGTCACACAGGACTTTAGGTTCATAAAACGACATCTTTAACTATAAATTAATTCAAAATTTTATACATAGTACATAATTGAGATAATATTAGTGTTCTAGGTATATAACTTATGTAAGTCAATAAGCAAAAAAATATTAAAATATGGCTATTATGATTTTTTTTGAAAAAAACAAAATTTGGAATTTTTTTTTTTGGGACTGGGACGGGTCACTGGTTTTTGTGAAAACCGACCGGGTCGGATCGAGTCGCACCGGTTCTGATGTATGGCCGGTCCGTTGCTTCAATCGGACCGGTTATATGACCGATTTACCGGTTCTCGGGTCGACCCGGCCGGATTGGTCCAGTTTTAATAACTACGGGGGAACTAATACATGAGGCAAGTTTGTAAATACATAGAAAAAAATTTCTTGACCACGTGGATTTGTTCAATCAAATAATTTATCGAATATATATATCTCGAAAAATTCTTAGAAACTAAAGTAGCAAAAACTTTACTTTTTTATTTTTTCTAATTAAAAATTTATTACTTTGGCTACGTAGATTATTATTATCTTACTCTTTAATTATTCTTTAAAAGTTATAGTTATTATGATGGGAACAAAGTTTGTCCTTTTAAAGGACATGGCTTTATGTCATTTTAGATTCGAATCGTTAATTTCTGTCAATTAATGGATATAATTTATGGGATTTACTATTCTTATGCAACAGAAGACAACTTGTCTTATGTTGTTGAGACAAATGATGTTGAACCCTTTTTTATAAAAAAAGAAGAAAAGAAAAGAAACTAAAGAGCCCACCATTTTGTTAGCACAGGAGAGAGACTTATCTTATATAAGTGGAGAAAATGTTTTTTCATAATTTATTGAGTCAAATTTTTTAATTAATTAGTAATTCACAATAAATTATAAGCATTGATTAACAAAAATTAATGGTTAGAATATAAAATAATACAAAAAATTATATAAATATTTTTCCCTGTTATGATTCATATATTCAAAGGTATTCAACAAAAAATTTATTTCAGGTGAGCAATTGTTGAGATAGAATGTATATATCATGTCAGTCAGTGATTCTGTCAACCTATCATGAGACGAAGAACGTGAAACATAATGAAAATTCCTGCATCCACATAAAACAATAAAAATATATATTTCTTTCGAATAGCCGTCTTATTTGATTTTCAATTTGAGGGGACAAAGTAACAAAAGAATATTCAAAAGTTAGTGTGGGCCAAGCTTTCCTATATAAGAAGGCACGCATTGGCACAAAAACATGAAAAGCAAATAAGCAGATATGGCATTCAACAGATTTTTCATTCTTCATCTCCTTTCTCTAGTTATTTCACTGATTACTTTCACAGAATGTGTTGTACCTACTCCTGAAGTACCTCTACTGAATCGGAACACTTTCCCAACTGGCTTCATCTTTGGTACAGCATCCTCGGCCTACCAGGTATGTATAGCATAATTATAAATTAAGATTAATTTCCAAATCAATTTGATACACCTTTCTACGTTACAAGTTAATTAATGTCTTAGTTTTTATTTAATTTATACTTAGTTAATTTTTCGGTGTTCATGATTATGTATATGTAGTACGAAGGTGCAGCAAACGAAGGTGGTAGAGGACCAAGTATATGGGATACCTTCACTCATAAATATCCAGGTATCCATGGGGTTAATTTTCTGTGATTCTCTATTTGTTATATATATGGGACACATTTTTCCATAATCTATACATTTGTTGATAAGCAAATTGATATATATGCAGATAAGATAAAGGATAGAAAAAGTGGAGACGTAGCCATTGACTCATATCACCGCTACAAGGTATTATTTGTTGATTCAACTAATTGGGTAATCCTTTGGCAATTCAACTAAAACAAATGAAAATACAATTAATAGACTTTTTACTTTACTATCTTTGTGTACGTATTTCATTTAGCTTTTATGTAAAGATAATGACTTATTAATTGTTGTTTATTATATTATAGGAAGACGTAAAGATCATGAAGGATATGAATTTGGATGCTTACAGATTCTCTATATCTTGGTCTAGAATACTCCCGAGTAAGTCAAATGTAGATCAATGATTATTAATTCTGGACTACATTTTACCCATTTACATGTTTCATATGCTAACCATTTTATTATTATTTTTTAATTGCATATATGCAGAAGGAAAGATAAGCGGAGGTATAAATCAAGAAGGAATCGACTACTACAACAACCTCATCGATGAGCTACTAGCAAATGGTCAGAATACGAACTTAATTTATTGAATTTTTTTAATTATTCTTTGAATTTTAGCATTTTCTCATGTTGTTGATATGATAATAATATCATCATGTTGAAACAATTAATACAGGTCTACAACCATTTGTGACTCTTTTCCATTGGGATCTTCCTCAATCCTTAGAAGATGAGTACGGTGGCTTCTTAGACCCTCGCATTGTGTGAGTGGCACGATTAAAATCTTTCACTTGAAAACTTATATAGTTAAATTATTTATGGAAATGTTTCTTAAAATTAAACGATGCTTTCTTGAACACGTGCAGAAAAGATTTTCGTGACTATGCAGAACTTTGTTTCAAGGAATTCGGAGATAGGGTAAAACATTGGATAACTTTGAACGAGCCATGGAGTTATAGCCGAAGTGGCTATGCAACTGGGGACATGGCACCAGGTCGATGTTCTGCTTGGTTGAATCCAAATTGCACTGGTGGTGATTCTGGAATAGAACCCTATATAGTTACACACCACCAACTTCTTGCTCATGCAGCAGCTGTTAACGTGTATAAAACCAAATATCAGGTAATTCATTACTTGTGTGAATAATTGAATAATTGCAGTTATATTTAGTTTTTCAAAATTTTAATTTTGAATAGTTTTTAATAAACAATAAAATTATGCATGGTTGCAGGCATCACAAAATGGTTTGATAGGCATAACCTTGTTAGTTACCTGGTTTGTGCCACTCTCTGATAGCAAACTAGATCAAAAGGCTGCAGAACGTTCTATTGATTTCATGTATGGGTGGTAAGTGTTTCTTTCTCTCTTTGCAAATTTGAACTCAAATGTTGATGTCAGAAAAATTTTCTGTTCAAATACTAGCTAGTGGTAAATAGTTTATATTTAATTTAATTGTTTGATTAATTGCAGGTTTATGGATCCACTAACAAAAGGAGATTATCCAAAAAGCATGCGATCCTTGGTAAGAACACGGTTACCAAGATTTACTAAAGCAGAAAGCATGCTTCTCAGAGGTTCATTTGATTTTATTGGCTTAAACTACTACTCCGCTATCTATGCCTCCGATGCAACTCAAATAACCAATGCAAAACCTAGCTACTTAACAGATTCTTTTGCTGGTATTTCATGTAAGCACACTTGTCTACTATCTATCTATCTATCTATCTATCAGTTATATATAAAACTGAACATATGTTGAATTTGATCATTAAATGTTGATAATGGAATTTTTTTGTTATTGCAGTCGAGCGTGATGGAAAACCCATTGGTCTAAATGTATGTGTATCTCCACCTAATTTTGTAACTGTTTTACAAGCTTAGTATGTTTTTCTTAATAATAAAGAAACCTGTTTTGTATGATTTTGCAGGTTGCTTCAGAGTGGTTGTATGTTTATCCAAAAGGATTTCGTGACCTTTTGTTATACACAAAAGAAAAGTACAACAATCCTTTAATTTATATTACTGAAAATGGTAAGTACACCTACGTATCATTTTTGTTGTCCTTTCACTACTATATACTGTAAATTAGTTCTAGATAAAGTTCATGAATATATACTAAAAAAATAAAAAAATTATTATGATATTCATGCCCATATGGGATTTTACTTTCATTACATGTATGATTATTCACATTTTCCATACTTCTTTTGATATACAGGTATAAATGAGTATGATGATCCATCACTTTCTCTTGAAGAATCTCTTCTGGATACTTATAGAATTGATTATCATTATCGTCATCTCTTTTATCTTCAATCTGCAATCCAGTAAGTAATTTCTTTATATATAAATAGGCTCTTTCATTTTTCTTTTGCATTTAATTTAAATTTTTAACTTATTTATTTTCTTACAATAATATGCAGGGATGGAGCGAATGTGAAGGGATATTTTGTGTGGTCTTTGTTAGATAATTTTGAATGGCATTCAGGCTATACAGTGCGGTTCGGAATGAATTTTATTGATTACAAAAATGGCTTGAAAAGATACCCAAAGCTCTCTGCAGTATGGTTCAAGGATTTTCTCAAAAGCAGAAAGCAGACTTTATACGTAGATTCCATTTAATAGTGCTAGGAAATTCTTTAAACAATTGTTTTTGTAAATATATATTTGTTTGATTTATTTTATTCTTAGGATAACAAGGATGAAAGTTAAAGCAATTATATTTAAATATATCATTCATGATTGATCCAATTTGTTGATTTTATGTGTCTTATAATTTCATTTTACATCTAGCTATAAAGGGAATAAAAATAACTAATTTACTTTGTTCTCCCCAATGTTGCTGGATAATATTAAAACATTCTTGGAACCTCAAAACTAATTATATGTAAAAGACTAACTTGTTTTAAGTAGAGTTATGCCTTAAGTTACCAAACTATCTTAATTGCTACACGAAACAACAAGGACATCAATCTCATTCTCTCAAGCATTCCACTTTGCATTTCCTCCCAAGTCATGAATTAATATCACATATTTGCTTTTGAGTATAGCTATTAATTACGTACTTCAACGCAACACATGAGAAAATTGAAAGTAGCAGTTTACACGCTCAGTATTCTTCTTTAGAAGTGCAGTTTACACGGTCGCAAGCATTGCTGCAATAGTAATTGTTATAATCCAATTGAAATTAACATCACTTGCATGGTTGGCCGTTTGCAGTTTTGCCGTTTGTTTTATGATTATAGATTCTACTTTTTGTACATCGGGTTTTGCCGTTTTAGCCGGCTTGGTACTCATTAGTTAGCTTCTGCACTGTAACCAACACTTAAGTAGTTGTTGAGCTTTTTTGATAATATGCTTCTTTTTTTTAAAGAAAGATATTTAATTACAAATTTTTTTCACGCTTGTGTCTTTTATTTTTTGTTAATCACATGTGGATAACATCAAAGAGGCATGGAATGCATGATCTTTTTCAGAAAACCACGTTTTCTTCAATATTAAAATGCCAAAGAAAGAATTTACCAAAAAAAAAAAAATGCCATATAAAGACAGTGTTTACATATTAATAACGCTTGCTCTATAGGCACTTATATGTAGGAAACACCATTATACATTATATTTAGCGTTTCTACATGAATAACACTAAACGCTTTGACGCAATTTATGCATAATAAAAAAAATAAAAAATGTTATCAAAGAGTTATTAATTTAGTAGCGTTCGAGCTAATAAACCCTACGATTTGATTTGTTCAAAAGATAATAAATTTAATTTCTGAGGGTCACAATTATTACAAAGTATAAAAAGATTTAAATTGAAACCGAATCAATCAGGTTCGATAGAAGTTCAGATATCGCTGGATATAAATTGCCAACATGACAAAAAGAAAACAGTTCAATAAATAATTTGAAAATAATGTGGGATGGATAAATAGGTTTACCCACAAAAGCATATTAGATCTAACTCTTCACAACCTAATACAATACCAAACAAACAAACACCTGCTACCAAAACGGAATTGGTAAGCTTCACTTTCAGCACTTTTCTTGATTTGACCTTAATATTGATACACGTTTAATGTGTTTTGAAATATTTTTCTTTCTTTGATAAACTCTAAATTATTATTCTTAATTACTAGTTGAGAAATTACCTCTTTTAAACGTCTATTAGGTATTTATTTATTTTTAATGATTTTGAGCACAAATTGTATTTATTTTTAACTCAATTATATATATATATATATTTATATATTTATATATATATATATATTTATTTATTTATTTATTTATATATATATATTTATTTATTTATTTATTTATTTCATGTACAACCCATATATGACCAGCCAAACATCATGATTCACGAAGACTTACATAATGAAGTTCTTATTTTTCTATTCAAATAAGAACTTGTATGAAATTGCATATTTGAATATGATATAAAATATGATCACTACCAAATAGTAGTAGTTCAGTTGGCGCATGGAAGCTGAGCAGGTGGGGTGAGAGCATGTGTTCGATTCTTCCAGTACCATCTTTAGGAGGAGTTTAAAGCTTTAATCTTGGACCCGCCCCGAATCGGACTAGTCGCGAAATGATGAACCGATTGAAATATTAAAAAAAAAAAAAAATGACCACTATTACACTCAACAGGTCAAAAAGAACAACAGGACCTCCAAGTTGGGTAGTAGACTGTGCAGTAGTCAATAGTATCGTTTAGTAGTCAATACATTGTGGGGTAGTTCTGTTAAGTGGTTATGTAGTTATAGAGTTGAGGTGTAAAATACACATTGGGTAGTTAGGGTAGTTAGCTGACGTGGAAGCTTACCACAAGATTTACAAAAAGAGAAGTACTTTAGCTCTTTCAAAATATCGAATAACAGAAATCAATCAATTTCAGTTTCTTCTTTGTTGTTTCTTGTTCTCTGAGCCTCGAGGCTCTATCACATATTTGTTTTTCACTTTGAACTGTTCAAAGGGACGAGTTTGAATATCTTTTTCTAACATTGGAGCGTATGGGTAGACCGGCAAAACGGGCTCGTCTCGTTGGGCTAATTCGTCCAATCCGCTAAATGAAATGAGGCGGATTGAGTTTTTCAACCCATCTCAAAAGCAGAGTTGTTGAGATATATAAAATCATTTATGTAATCACTCAACAGCTTAAGTTTTTGGGTTGAATTGGTTCTTTACATGGTATCAGAGCCTAGTGTCTCAGGTTCGATTCTCGTCGCCCCCACTTTCTTTCAATTGAAATTTCTTTGTTCGCACAGGTAGGTGGGTCTGTGCATTATCCGGAACAGTGACCAAAATGCCACTGTTCACCAACTTTTTTACCTAAATACCACGCGAACAGTGTTATTTCCCAATCTGCCACGAGGACAAGTTCGCTACCCGTGTAGCGAACTCGGTTTGCTGACGTGTCACGTTTTTAGTGGACTGTGACACGTCAGCAAACCGAGTTCGCTACCCTGTGTAGCGAACTTGCCCCCGTGGCATATTGAGAAGTAACACTGTTCGCGTGGCATTTAGGTAAAAAAGTTGGTGAACAGTGACATTTTGGTCAGTGATCCTGCGTAATATTGTCCACCCTTCAAGCCCAGTGGGCTCTCGCGTGAGGAGACATGTTGAGATATATAAAATCATTAATATAACCTCATGCAACAACTTAAGCTTTTTGATTGAATTGGTTCTTTACAGGAGTGGGTTCATTTTTTGGCGGGTTGATGGCGGACCGAGGTGGGTCAGTGTAAAATAGACTCGGATTGACGGGCCAACCCATCAAACGAGACTGGACGGGACGGACTGACTCATTTTTTGAAAGATTAATGACGGGGCGGGATGGGCGGCCCACTTTGCCACCACTGCGTATGGGACACAGTTTCTCTATATCTCTGGAATCATAATATGATCTTATTAGCTGGCTAGTCTAGCTCCTATATATATTTACGCCAAAATTAAAGCGATTAAGAAAAATCATAAGTGACATAGAAAATAAAGAAAGATTAATTAGCAGAATCATAGACATGGCACGGAAAGGCTTTTACTTACTCGGCTTCATTGCTTTTGTTCTAGTGATTAGCAAATCCACTGTTAATTGCATAGAAACTGTTGCAGTTGAGCCTATTCTTGACTTTGCTTCGTTGAATCGAAACAGTTTAATTTCCCTGTTTCATTTTTGGGGCAGGATCCTCGTCGTACCAAGTGTATAATTGTAACACCCTGTGTATACCCAAAATATTAATATTACATCGTATTAAGCGGTGCTTAATTAAAAATGCGGAATATTCTTTTTCTTTTCAATTATGACGTCATTATCAATTACACTAAAGAAAAGTACAAAAATCCTTTAATTTATATTACTGAAAATGGTAAGTGCACCTACATATCATTTTCGTTGTCCTTTCACTACTATATATTGTAAATTAATTCTAGATAAAGTTCATGAATATATACTAAAATAAAAAAAAAACAAATTTATTATGATATTCGTGCCCATATTGGATTTTACTTTCAGTAATTTTACTTTCAGTACCTACTGAGAAGATGAATATGCGTGTATGATAATTCACATTTTCCATACTTCTTTTGATATACAGGTATAAATGAGTATGATGATCCATCGCTTTCTCTTGAAGAATCTCTTCTGGATACTTATAGAATTGATTATCATTATCGTCATCTTTTTTATCTTCAATCTGCAATTAAGTAAGTAATTTCTTCATATACATAAAGAGACTCTTTCATTTTTCATTTGCATTTAATTTAAATTTTTAACTTATTTATTTTCTTACAATAATATGCAGGGATGGAGCGAACGTGAAGGGATATTTTGCATGGTCTTTGTTAGATAATTTTGAATGGCATTCAGGCTACACAGTGCGATTTGGAATGTATTTTATAGATTACAAAAATGGCTTGAAAAGATACCCAAAGCTCTCTGCATTATGGTTCAAGGATTTTCTCAAAAACAGAAAGCAGACTTTATCTGTAGATTCCATTTAATAGTGCTAGGAAATTCCTTAAACAATTGTATTTGTAAATATATATTTGTTTAATTTATTTTATTCTTAGGATAACAAGGATGAAAGTTAAAGCAATTATATTTAAATATATAATTCATGACCGATCCAATTTGTTGATTTTATGTGTCTCATAATTTTATTTTACATCTAGCTATACAGGGAATAAAAATAACTAATTTACTTTGTTCTCCCCAATGTTGCTGGATAATAAAACATTCTTGGAACCTCAAAACTAATTATATGTAAAAGATTGTTACCAAAAAAAAAAAAAATTATATGTAAAAGACTAACTTGTTTTAAGTAGAATTATACCTTAATTACCAAACTATCTTAATTGCTACACGAAACAACAAGGACATCAATCTCAGTGTCAAGCATTCCACTTTGCATTTCCTCCCAAGTCATCAATATCACATATTTGCTTTTGAGTATAGCTATTGTTGCTACTCACGGCAAGTGCACCGATCGTACAAGTAATATATGATTAAGTAAGAGATCGTTCCCACGAGGATTACGGTTCAAGCACTAATTCACTATCGCAAACTTAGTTGGACAATCGAAAGTGTATTTGGAAACAGGATTTGAATTGTAAAATTAAAATATTAAATATTAAGCTAATTACTTGCAAGAATTAAAGACAAGAAATTAAAGATGTGATTTAAGAATGTAAAAGAATGTAGCTAGGGGTTCGATTTCCTTTAATCTCCTTATTATGATTCAAAGTCCTTCTTTACGTTAACCGTCCTTAATATCAATCTAACCAATTCTTTCGCGTGTTATTAGAGCTCAATCCCTTGTTACCCTAAAACCTTTACAAACTTGAAAGAACCCTAGTTCCCCGGTTATTCCCCAAGAATGCAAGCATTAAGTTCAAGAATCTTAAGGTTACGCAAATTCTATGTCTATTCCTAGAATCATAGCGTTTACGATGAAGTTATCAGATATGGATCACACACCAACATCCCTATTGTCATGCATTTACCGATGATCATTATATAAGATTCAAGCCTATATAAAGCATTAAAAACAGATAACTTCATTCATGATAAAGAGGAAAATTAACGTACGAATTATTCAAAGCATAATAAATCGACTAAAATCCATCTAACCCTAACTACTTAAAGAACTAGCCGGACATGGCAAAATCAAGAACAAAAGAAAATAGAAAAGCTCCCCCAAACTCCATAGGTGATTGGTGGATCTTCAAAATCTCCAGTGAACACTTGACGTTGATCCGTCTCCGCCGCTCACGAACATGAATCTGATGTTTCTTCGCGTTCCCTCCGCCTCCAAGCACCCAAGAGTTGTTTAGCAATCTAAAAGTTATGTATTTCTGGTCCCCAATGGCCCTTTTATTGGCCAAGAGTTCGTATCCTAGTAGAAAACTCGAATGGGCCTAAGTTGGATCTGTCTGGGCGCTTAAGCCTGTTGTAGCGCGCTTAAGCGCCCTAGGACAGTGAATTCTGATTCGCGTTGCGCGCTGAAGCGCTCTGAAGGGCGCTTAAGCGCGCTCCTCGCGACAACTTTTTCTTCTTGTGGCGCGCTTAAGCCCTGAGTTGGGGGCTTAAGCGCCCAGAGGCAGTAGCTATTTGCGTTTTTAGGGAGCTTAAGCTTCTGAATGGGGGCTTAAGCTCCCACTTCTAACAACTTGATAAGATCCTCAATCTTATTGTTTTTGATCTTCTTCTATCATCTTTTGATCTTATCTTTTCTAGTTGTGATCTCTATTTATCCAATCTTCATCTTTGACTCCTTTTGTCAACAAATCCCTAAAAAATAGCAAAGATGATTCCATTAAACAAAAATTCAGATAATGTTCATGATTATTATATTAAACCTTAGTTTTTGACTTATTTAACTTGATATTTTATATTAATTTAGTCTATAAAATAAGATAAACTAAAGGTTTATCAAACAATTCCCAGATTTGAACATTGCTGTCCTCAGCAACTAATTAGAATAAAACTATGGGAAAGTTTGAAGACGGCTAGTCATGCTTAATGAATATCAGGCAGAAAACTGATCAATAATGAGATACCAAAGTATTCAGACTTATTAAAATCAATGACACATCCATTTCAAGCAAACAACCATAATTCACCAGTCATAAAATCATAACATGCGTTCTCAAAAGAAAGAGTAGTACAATTTAATTCCCACAACACCCTCTCACTGGATTTTTATTTATTCACTCATACTCAGTGTTTAAGGGTATGTGTTTCACTCTTACTTTACTGAATTAACACTACCATAAGCTTGTTTATATTCTCACTCTCCACAGTCTTACTACTATACAAAGTCAATCAAGAGGTCTTTGTTAAGGTTGTAACGTGGCTTTAGATAAAAGGGAAGGAATCATCTGGGTAAGTGGCGTAAGATAACTGATCAAAATTCAACTTCAAAGAGGAACTAGTTTAACTGTTCAACATATAGTAAACAGATTTCTCTTATTTTTCTTCTCTTTTCTTCTTCCACTTATTCATATAATATGAGTCTTTTATTTCTTTTCCCTTTTCCTTTTGTTTTTCTTTTTCTGTTTTTGTACAGATACACATTTTCAACCTTTTTCTTTGCTTTTCTTTTCCACCACTTTTTGGCTTTTTCCTCTTTTCACCCTTTTCTCCCATACACTTAGAGTTTGATTTTCTCTTTTTGTTTCAATCATATCTAGTCCCTCATTTAAATTTGAAATTTAATCAGTTCAGGTGAGGATGTGTATAAAATGGCTATTCACAATAAGCTGTCAATGAATAAATAGGCCTAGGCTCAAAGGGGCTTCAACTAAGGATGAACATCAGGGTGGCTATTTGGCTATCTAGCTTTCAGAAAGAACTGCCTCTATCATTTCAACAATTGTATACTACAGACCATTTCAAAGAGAAACAAAACAAGTTCTAGAGTGATTCATACAGAGAAGTTCACACCACAAAAAAAATTCTGTTTAGGCTCAAAAGCTTACGGCGAAGGATGTGAGACTTATTTCCACTCTCTCTTTGATTACTCTAGTTATTCTTCTCTTATTCCAGTGAACTATGAAGCATGCTTGACTGACGCTCATTTACGTACGAAAATAAAATTTATCTACATCTTTATACTCTTGATATCAACTATCAACCAATTTCATGTAATTATTCATTATGCATCCATATCAAGCACAATGGAAAACCTCTAAAGATCCACTTAATTATTTATTTATTGACTAGATGGGGTCTTAATAAAAAAAAAAAAAAACTTAAATATTAACTGACTAATATATATGAAGACCTTAAAATAAACTAATACTAAATCAAAATAATTCTAAAATAAACTAATACTAAATAATATAAAAATAATGAACTATAATATGAAAATAATATTAAGAAACTCCCCTGAAACACTGCATTTGTAATTTGGATATTTCTGTGTACTCCGTGTAATCATGAGTTTCTCCTTCCGACCATGTGAAGTTTATGGTCTGATAAATTGCGTTGGTACCCATTCCCAGATTTAAATCTTGCTGTCCTCAGCAATAAATTTAAATCTAAAAAGAATCCTAAGCAAGATATCAGAAAAAAAATGATAATGTACTCTGCACACATGTCACAGATAAAGAAACTACGTCAGCATGTCATCTATCCAAAACAATATCAGTCATGTCAGGTCAGTCTCAATATACCTCCATGTCTACATGCACTAGACTAATAGTAAAAACAGCAAAATAATAATAATTAAAAAAAATAAAAGTCTGAAAACAGATAAACTGATGTGAGGATCAGTCCTCCTCCATATCAGTGGTGGGTGTGTCGTCATCTCCTGCATCCTCCTGGTCGGCCTCAGCAGTAGTGGCATCATCAATGCGGACTGTATCATCCTCAACAGCAGTGGCATCATCAATGCAGATTGTATCATCCTCAACAGCAGCCGTCTCAGTGTTAGCAGCAGTGGCATCCTCAGCAGTGGTCGGGCCTGGGGCCTCCTCATCAGATCCAGCATATGCTGGATATGCGAATGGTGATGCCTGTCTGTCCTGCTGGCGACATAGCTCGACCATCTGTGCACTCATATAATCCTGAAAAGCCATCTGTCTGCTCTGAGAGTATCTAGCTCTCCTCTGCATAGATCCCTGCTGACGCTGCAGTGACTGCACTGCCTCCCATATAGCAGGGATATCTGGCTGTCGTGCCCGTCGGGCTGGTGCTGCTGGTGGTACTGGAGGTGCTGGAGATGATGGGGGAGTAGATGGGACACCCATGGTTGTTCGGATGAGAGCAGCATCAATAGGGGGCACACTTCCACTAGCCTGGGCTCAGTGGGTATCTCTACTCCGACCCGATGACACAGGGTCTGGATGAGAGAGCTGTGTGCAATGGCAGCTTTTGCAGATGTCTGGTGTGCAAAGTCGTAGATACCATCTGCTACGATTGTCGGAAGATCAACTGTGCCCCCAGTCATGATGGTGTGTATAAGTGCTGCTCTCTTTACCTGCACCTCAGATGTGTGGGTGGTGGGCAAGATGTTATTAATGATGAACTGGAACCATACTTTGGCCACTGGCTTGAGCTGGTTAAGATGCAACAATTTTGGACGAATGTTGTTTTTCATCATCTCCCAGTTTTCTCCTGGAAGGGCAATGGTATCCAAAATAGGTGCAGCTTCTTCTATAGGGTCCCAAGTATCAGACGCTGGGTCACTTCTAGCAGGTCCATACTCAACTTTATCGAGTAACTGTCTGTACTCACATCTTGTTCCTGGTTTGTGATGGGCTGTCTTGAGCAGATCCTGTAAGGTGTTAGAATCATAGGCTATCTCCTTGCCTCTAACATAGCTGATGTATACGCGGCGGGCTCCCTGATCAAAGTTGTAGGCGTTTGCATAAAATTCTCTACAAATTGTGCCTGAGCTGTCGGTAAGGAAGTTGGAATAAGACTTCCATCGTCTTCGGACCAAATTGTTGTAAATGTCCGGATATTCCCCTTGCTGGAGGAGCATCTTCCTCTCCCT